CAGCCTCCCAGCCTCCCAGCCCCCCAGCCTCCAGCCTCCCAGCCTCCCAGCCTCCCAGGCTCCAGCCTTCCAGCCCCTGGAAATGACCATTCTACTTGGCATCTCTGAAGTTGGCTGCTCTGGCTGCCTCACATAGGCAGATCTGAGAGCATGGAACAGTTCTCTCTTTTTCTGCGTCTCATTTCATTTTCTCTGTTCATTCATGTTCTCTCTACTTTTTTAAGGCTGAGCAATGTTCCAACATGTGGGTATGCCAGGCTTGTGTAGCCAGTCATCTGCTGGTGGGCACTGGGTTCTTAGCAACCTTTAGCTAATGGGAACGATGCTTTAGAGATTTTGTTGTATTCAAGCCAAGGAATGTCTAAAACTGCAGCGGTACTCTGCCTCTTTCTCCCCTCCCTTCCCAGTAGCCCCACAACTGGAACAAACACTCTTAGGTCCGTACTTACAGGCATTTTTCTAAAACCGTTTCTTTATCTCTTTCAGTGTCCAGTCCATCCAGGAGAAGAGTCAAAAGCTCTCAACATCTTTTGACCAAGAATGTAAGGAAACGTATTTATCATCTTTGAATGACTTTTTTGAATGACTTTTTGATCCTCTTTGAACGACTTTCCCTACAAAAATAACGGTGGCCTCTCAACTCCCTCCCTCTCCACTGATCTCAAGGATGAGAGGGGGGGGGGTGTTTTCGGTGTCTCCTGTGGCTGTTTGTCCACTTAGCCGAAATAACTGGCAAATATCAACCGTACACCCAACAATCCCTAAGCAATCCCCTCATTTTGCCATTTCCCCCAGGGGACCTCAATCTGCACGCACACAGAGTTCATGATACGGACATAACACCCTGATCTAGGCAATTGTAACATCATATACAACATTATATATCCTCACTATTATAGGTAGCAGTGAAGTACTCATATAATTCCTTGTCGCATAGGCCGCCTAGCAGAATAAACAGGTAACAGAATAAGGACGAATCATCCCTCCACCACCTGTCCATCCCTCAGGCATTTGCATAGCTAGTATGTTAGTCACGTTGTGATGGATGTACAGAGGGTAAGGGTAATCTTGTTGGCGTTTGACTGCTTGCTTGAGAAAATCCTTGGGTAGCTCGGGCTGTCCCCAAGCCCACCATGTAGCCCAAGCTTGCTTGAAGAACTCTCGCCTCAATCTCCAAAATGCTGGGATTATAGGCGTAACTTCTTTAAAAATGGCTTACGGGTTTGCCTGGTAATTCCAGAAATTCTGAACAATTCAGAGGTCTCTCCAGCCTTTCATTGTCCTTTTCCTGTGTGGGCTTTCATTTTCAAATTGTATTTTGGTATTTTAATGCAGTACCTTGAAGTTGCTTACACACCTGTAGAGGCTAATGATGTGCACAACTCTCACCTGACATCCAAATTTTCCCAAGTCAGAACTACCAATACATCCACACTGTGTTTCAGGAGGAGGGCAATGTGCAGCTGCTATCACAGATTTTGGACAGAGCTATTAAAGATTTTAAGTACTATAATTTTTAAAAACCTCTTTTCTGTTTTAAAAAAATATATATGCTTTTTAGGTCAAAGGAGGCTTATTTGTTGTTTCTATAAACATTCTTTATTTTTTTTAAAGAACACAGGTACACCCTGAACAGGGCAGAGTGGCTAGGCAGTGACAAGAGCACTGCCTACAGCTTTGTTACACTCCCAAACCAGCCTGTATCCATCACAAAATCGCGAGCCCTGCAAGGATACTCAGTTCAGTGTCACAGAATTCTGAGAAGCTGTAGAACAGGACAGAAGATGCAGAGGATTTTTTTACAGTCAAGTTGCCTGTGTGTAAACCCCAGCTCCACCAACTCGTATTTATTTGAGTCAGTTGCCTAACCACCCTGGAGCTCTACTTCCTTAGCTTTAAGACAGTTAATTCAAACACGTATCTCAGGAACAAACAAACGACTTAACACATAGCAAGGGTCTGGTTCGGAAACTGTAGAGTATTAAGCATTCAGCAAATGTAGGTTGTTTTTTTAATTTGGGTTTTATTGTTTTTTGTTTGTTTGTTTGTTTGTTTGAGACATGTTCTCACTATGTAGCTTTGGCTGGTCTGGAACTCTCTATGTAGACCAGGCTGGCCTTGAGCTTGCAACCTTTATGCTAATGCCCATAGAAGTAGCTCAAAAGACAGTGCTCACACAAAGGAGTGGGTCAGGTAAGCATTTTAGGATAATGGAGTCCTTTGATAATAAGCAGGAAATCCGGCAAAAGGAAAATCCACCTTGCCTTCCAAGACACTTCCATGTGTCACCATACCTAGCCATTCATGTGTTTTTCAGTGAGAAATTTCCATATACTGCAAGATAATTATGGGCTGATTGTCTGAAAAAAATGGACTATTATTGCAAATTGATTTATTCGCTCAATAGATTTTTGAACATCTTTCCATGCCAACAGATACGTGAATATCTTATGTGACATATATGTATATTCATATATACATATGCATAGTATTCCAGTGTATGAATTACCAGTTTTTATTTATCCAAATCGAAGCTGGAGTTTTTAGAGTCGTTATCCAAAAGTCACCAAAAAAATGGAGTTTCTCCACTTTCTCTATTAATACAGGGCTAGAAAGAAAGAAAGAAAGAAAGAAAGAAAGAAAGAAAGAAAGAAAGAAAAGAAAAAAAAACGCTCTTGAAAATATTGTGCCCTTACGTATTGGCTTCTCCACATCACATCACATTCATAGATGGAACAAGATTGGTCAGGAGGATTAAGACACATTCGCAGTCATTGCCAGAGTCCTGCAATCACCTCTTTTTCCAGAACGCAAAGCTAATACTGTAGGGTCTTCCTGTTGTTAAGCTTTCAAAGGTACAAGGTGGAAATGACTTGTCATTTTATTTTGTATTTCCTCCATTTTAATGCAGTTCTTCATTTCTTTCATAGATTTATTGGCCATTGACATTTTTCCTGGCAGGTTTTTTTAAATTTAATTTTATTTATATATTTATTTACTACAATGTATTCACTTTGCATGCCCACTGCAGCCCCCTCCCTGTCTCCCTCAGTCCTACCCCACCCCCTTACTCCCCTTATGCCCTTTCCCTAGCCCTCTGATAGGGGAGGTCTTCCTCCCCTTCCCTCTGACCCTGGTCTATCAGGTCTCATCAGGACTGGCTACATCATCTTCTGCTGTGGCCTGGCAAGGCTGCATTCCCCAGGGGGAGGTGATCAAAGAGCCAGCCATTAAGTTCATGTCAGAAACAGTTCCTGTACCCCTTACTAGGGAGCCCACTTGGAAACTGAGCAGCCAATGGTCTTCCTTTGAACAGGGGGTCCTGGTGGGTTTTTTGTTTATTTTTTTCTTTTCCTTCGGCTGCTTTTAAGTCAGTCATGTATCTTTTATAAGGACTTTTGAAAGCATTCTTAGGAAAGAGAAGGCTGTGAGTCTTGAGATCCTGACCTCACTCGAACCCCTGAGAATTAAACACCTCATTCATAAGGAAAATGGAAAGGAAAGGGCTGTTCACAGATAGTGCAGTTAGGAAATTTCGTTCCAGGTGTTTAGGCCTCAGCCAGTAGCTTCCCAGCTCCTCGGTTTGGAAAGCTCAGCAGTAACCACAGAACGCACATACAGGCAGGGCAACTCAACCCGAAATCCCCCTTCCCCCTTAGTGAGACGGGGGTTCTGTCCTGTTCTCCAGCTTGGTAGCTTGAAAGTACTGCAGGAAAACCCATCTTACTTTGCACAGATACTAACATTTACAGTGTTCGTTGGCCCCAAACGTTCTTTTGCAATTCTTGTCACTCCTTGGGCTGCCATACGGATGAAAATGCTTTTTCTTCGTCCATGAATACCGCTTTCCTCTCTGAGTCATCCCCAGTGCCCAATTCACTTCCTCTTAGACCCTGCTTGAGTTGCATCTTCTTCCAGATCCTAAGGCCCATCCGCTTCTCTGGTGTGTGCTCTCTCTCTCTTCCTCCCTCCCTCCCTCTCTCCCTACCTCTTCCCTCCCTCCCACTCTCTCCCTCTACCCCTTCCCTTCCTCCCTCCCTCCCTATTTTCACTACTTTGATTCCTAGTCTGTTTTATTGCCATCCTAGTCATCCTGATGCCTGTGGATGACATAGAAATACCTCGAACACAGGAGTAGGTCTGTCGAGCATCCCAAGAGAATGGAGCCCTTTAATAATAAGCAGGGAAGCTGGCAAGGGCAAAGACAGAGAAACAGGACTGTAAATAGCCCTTTGTCCCCAGATTTGATGTTCCTGTGGGGGCACCTGTGTGGAATCTCCTGGTCTATGCAACAAGTATTTGGTTGCACTTGAAAAATCTCAGCCTGGTGCAGGTCTTCCCTGAGGTCTTCCAAAGAGCCTTAACTCAGGAGGAGGCTGTGGTTCACATTGGTTCTGTAAGCACAGCTCTGTGACCCTAAGAGAGACACGTAGCTGCCCATTACCTCAGTTTCCCTATGTGTAAAATTAGTGAGTCCACTTGAACATTTCTACAGATTCCTTCTTCCCTATCTAGAAAAATTAAAAATCTGGAGCTTGAACTCTGGCTTGACCCCAAATGGAGTATCTTTCTCTTCACTGATAGGAGAGGGGGATTTTATTGTTTTAATATGTAGTCACTAACATTCAGTGCATTTTATGGATTTTGCTCATAGTTTCCCTCCATTATTGCTTTTTCAATTTTATTGCTTGTTAAAGAGATTTATGAGCATAGGCATAATTCCTCATTATATGTAATGCTATGTATTATATCAAGCTATATTCTACTTTAGTGTTTGTTGTTCAACACATAGCTTTGACCTGGCTCATCACCCAAACCAAATAGAGATGCTTTCCCCCAGTGGCCTGATATTTATTCCAACAACATCATTAAAGATACAGCTTCCTCCGCCGACCTGAAATACCACCCTGTTGCCATGTTTTTAAAAGCCCATTTATTTTTGCTCCGGCATCCCCCAAAACCAACACTATATTCTGTGTGGTCAGCTGAAGGGGGTCTGCCAAAAGCTAGACTATCAGGGCTGAGCCTATCTGCCTTCCTCACAGACTCACAGAGGCCCAGGAGCTGACACAGAATGGGCCCTTGAAGGACAGCTGTGCACAGAAGGAAGTGACCGAGGGTAGATCAAGCCTCGGGGAGAATGACAGGTTATGGAACACTGGAGCTTCTAATGAATGAGCCTCATGGAGGAAGGACAACAGAATGAATGACTCTGTGTCCTGGAAATGGATAAAATATGCAGAATCTGCTCCCTGGCTGCCAAGGTTCCCCTCATGACTCCCCGTATTAAGATAAAATGACTGCTATTATTTGTCTCCTGTTTTCACATTTAAATTATTTCAGTGATTTAAGTACAGCTGCTCCTCAGTGCCCTCAGGGCTTGGTTCCAGGGCGCCCACAGATACCCACATTCACATGCTCAAATTCCTTGTGTAAATGGCATACCCTATGCACAGAGTCCTCACACACACTGCCTACTTTAAATAGTCTCCAGCTCACAAATCACCTAAAGATAACACCGTTACGTAAACTACTGTGTGTCATCCACTAGGCGATAAAGAACAACCTCTTGGAGTGTTCAGTGCAGATCTGGGGTTTTTTAAAACAGCGTTTTAAAGAATTTCATACAATACTTGGATGTGATCTTTTCCTTCCCTCCAGCTCTTCCCAGATCCTACCAAACCCACCCAACGTTGGCCTCCTTCCTTCTCTCTCTAAAACAGACAGACAACCACAAAGCAGGGAATCAGGTTCTCCTGGGCAGACCTACTCCTAGGCTCGGGGCTGCTGGAGTGTGGCTGAGACGCTGATAAGCTCTCACTCCATCGAAGAAACTGATTTTTTCCCCCTCTCCCAGTGGTTGTCAAATGTGAACGAACAGCTCCCAGGCTGGGCCTGGGACTTCATGCCCACTGCCCTTTCTTCATGCCGGTGCTGGTCTTCATGCAGTGAGCTGGTGCGCTGCACTCTCTGTAAATTCCTGTGTCCGTCTTCTCTGCTGCTTCCTGAAAACGCTGTTTTCTTGAAGTCACCCACCACTCTGGCTCCTACAGCCTTTCTGCCCCTCGCCCTCAATGCTCCCTGAGTCCTGAGGTCCCGTTAGTGTGTGCTATCTACTGTGGTTGAACACTAGCAGGCGATGGTAATGAACCCAGCCCAGACTCTCTTCTGACTTTCTGCCCTCGCCACTGACAACCACTCGGTGAAAATTCACTTCCCGCCACCCCGGCCCAGGCTCACCTCACGGTAGCCATTCACTCCTTACAGTTCTGTGGTGGACATGAGGTGGGTGCCGGCGCTGGGCCCTGGGGAATGAGGGGAGGAAGACTGACTGCGCTGCCCATGCCATGCAGGTGGTGATCGAGTCGGACCTGTACCCACCGAGGCCCCTGGAGCTGCTGCCTCAACGCTGCTGCGAGCGCCGGGACACAGCGGACCGCAGGCTTGGCAGGCTGCAGACTGGCAAGCAGCAGCCCGCCCGGCCACCCGGGGTGCACTCCGCCAAAACCCCGGCCAGACCTGGTACGTGAGTCTTTCAGGTTCCCCAGACACCAGGCCATTGGGTCTCCGCTGGGTCTCACCTATAGCAACAAGACCATTCACCGTGCGTGCGTGCGTGCGTGCGTGCGTGCGTGTGCGTGTGCGTGTGCGTATGCACAGGCTCCTTCCACACAGCGGCTTTTGTTTTAGTTTTGTGGCTGGTGGAGATATAACTCAGTGAAAAGCCCTGGATTCATCCCCAGTACCATAACGACAGCCATAACAACCAAACTGTACTTTTTTGTTGTTGTTGGTTTTGTTTTTTGTTTTTTCGAACAGGGTTTCTCTGTGTAGCCCTGGCTGTCCTGGAACTCACTCTGTAGAGCAGGCTGGCCTAGAGCTCACAGAGATCTGCCTGTCTCTGCTTCCCGAAGGCACCACCACTGCCCAGCTAGCCAAACTGTATCATTTTAAAATTTGAATGGCTTAATAATCTATAAAAAGAACTTAGGGGCAAACCTCTTTGAAAACTGGAAACAGTAATGTTACCATGGATACTATTTTTTTTGAAATGTCTTCCCCACTAAGCAGTAAAGCAGGATTCAGCTTTTAGCCTAGCCCACTGACGTTTCTAATAATACTTTCTCTTTAATTGATAGTTTGGGCTGTTTTTCCCCATTGTGCCAACAACGTAAAGTTACTCATGCTTTAATTCCGAAAATATAAACAGTTGAGAACGGTGGCTTTTACACTTTTAATCTCAGCGTTCGGGAGGCTGAGGCAAAAGGGTCGTCATGAGTTCAAGGTCAGCCCGGGCTTCAGGAGGACATCCTACCTCAAAAACCAGCTCAGTTGATGAAGTATTTGTGACTCAAAGATTCGTGCCTGGGTCCAATCCCCAGAGCCCACACAAAAATCTGGGTGTGCTGGTGTGACTATAAGCCAGTGCTGAAGCCAGAGACAGGGGAAGCCCAGGGCTCCCAGACCAACCTTCAGACAGCGAAAGACTGTCTCCAAAACAAAGTGGATGGCACCTAAGGAATGACACCTCAGGTTAACTTCTGGCTTCCACAAGCCCAGCTCCATGTACTCAAAAGCACTACCATGAACACACACCTGCACACAATCAAAGAAACAAACAGGGGGAGGGGAAGAAAGGAAAATCCAAGATGTTGTTAAGGCTTTGGGCATTAACAATTTTATGTTTTATAGGAATTGACATAAAGTCTCTATTGACTCTGCCCTTTGACAATCTTTTCTTATCCCATGCCTCTCCTTTGTCTTATGTTGTCTTCCAAGTTTTGTCCTGGCTATTGTTTTAATTGTTGCTTTTCCTAGGTGTCAGGCTAGGTTTCTTTGGTCTCTGTACTTAAAGGTCAAAGGTACAAGAGCACATAAACCAAGCCACATTCTCAGTTAAGATCGATTGCATACATGTAAATAGGATGAAAGCATTAGGAAAGCCACAATCTGCCTTGCAAATTAAGAGGAGATAGATCTCTCTCTGTGTCTATGTATATATAGGTGAGTGGGTGGATGTGTGTGTGTGTGTCTGTGGAAAGAGAAAAATAGACAGAATATTCCTCTTTGCTCCAAAATCATAAAGTGAGTTTATAAGCCATGCTTTTCAAATTACTGTGTACACAAGAATCAACTAGGGGACTTTCCCTGATGCAGATTTTAATTCAGAAGAACCCTAGTCTTTCCCACCAGTGGATCCAAAGGTTTCCATTTCTGACATGCTCCCAGATGCTGCTGCTCTTACAGCTATAGGGTCAACAGGCTGAGGAGCAGGGGTTTAGAAAGAAGTTAGTACGGCGATTTTCGAACTGGGGTTCCAGGAGTAGTACCCAGAAATATGTTGGAAAAGCACTAGAAATTCCAGGGTTTAAGGCATATCAATCTGTGTTCTACACACACACACACACACACACACACACACACACACACACACACACACCTTGAAATAATTCTCAACCACGCTACAAGGCAGACGGTGGCTTTTCTAATGCTTTCATTTGACCTGCTGCAGTCATCTTCTGCCAGTGCTCAGAACAGAAAAGCCAACACTGTAGATATTGTTTGACCTGTGTAAGATGGTATTTCCTGGCAGCCACAGAGCCAAGGTACAATATGCAGTCCTGGTGTTATCTTATGGCCAGCCCCTCTTCCCCCCAACTGTTTAGTTTTAGGGGTCACACCAATAGTTTTTGAAAGACTGTGTCTCATAGTGTAGTCCATGCTGACCTCAGACTCTTGATCCTCCTGCCTCAGCCTCCTGACAGCCAGGACTTTGAGTGTGTTACCACACCTGGCTGCTTTCACAGCTTTGTAAGTGGTTGGTGTCGTCTGTACTGCTGAAGTCAGTCTTTTACTCTGAAGGCACGAGCGTAGGTTATGAAATGGAGAGTCTGCCTGACATGTGACACTCAGCTCATGCAGAGATGTGCTAGTCAGGTCTGGGTGGGGTTAAAAATAGATTCAGCTGGGCATTGATTCAATATGCTCAGGGCCTCCAATGTGATAGATTCCAGGATGGGTAGGAGGAGTGTTGCTGAGCTGAAGCCAAACCCTGGTGTTCTCCAAGGAAAGGCTAGGCACCAGCCCACAGTGATCAATTCTTACTTCAATTCAATTCTTACTTCCTCCTCTCAGCATGTCTCCAGGGACCTCAGATCTAGGGGCTTGCTCTTTCTCTGAGTTGTAGGGGGAAAAAAAAACAACTCTTGGATGCCACAGACTTCTCAGGTAGGGGAGAGGTGAGAAAACCTGGAGGTCACAGGGAAGCTGTAGGTAGAACCAACGAAGGCGTTCTCACAGCAAGGTCTTAGATGCTGCGAAGGGGCAGTGCCCATCTCCCGGAACTGTTGAACTTTTACCCAAAGATGAACTAAAGTGCCTCAGAACCACCTCATCAAAACAAGCTAAAAGGTGTGACCTTTCACCAGGCATGATTGTCCAGTTTTCCAGAGAGTCGCCAGTTTCTTCCCTAGGACTTCTGTGTTCTCCCCACTCACTTTATACAGTAGGCTGACAGTGTCAGCCCAGAGAGCTCTTGCCTAACCCCTTTTGTGCCTTACCACAAAGTTCCCAGGCTCGCACTCCCGAATCTCACATATGCAGACCACTTCAGCGAAGGGCCTCTCCCTCTCCAAAGCTCCCTGATGCCCTCCTAAGACAGGAGGTGCTTCCTCTGTCATCTTTTGTTTTTACCCCTGTTGTCTCATCCCACTCACCTGCCCTCCAAGCCCTGATGACATCCCACGACCACCTAATGGAGCACTCCTGTTCTTACATTCTGTCCTTCCCATCCTAACCCTGCAGCTCAGGGTCATTCTACCATAACATGGATGTCCCATTCCATTAAGTTTCCCTGAGCCTTCATTAATGTTCTCTCTGCAGCTCTCCTTCTCTGGTTTGGGATATGTTATTCCTTGACCAAGCTTCCCTGGGCCTTCCAGAGGTCTAATATCTCCAAACATTTTTTTTTTTTTTTTTTTTTGGTCTGGTGCTTTAGTTACTTTTCTGGTTCTGTGATAAGACACCATGACCAAGACAGCTTACACAAGGAAGGGTTTATTTTGGGTTTAGAATTCCAGAGGGCTAGTGACCATAGGACAAGGACAGCATGGCAGCAGACAACAAACAGGGTGACTGGAACCGCAGCTGGGAGCTCACATCTCAAACTGCAGTCAGGAAACAGAGCAAACCTAAAATGTCTTTTAAACTCCCAAAGTCTGCCCCTGATGATATACTTTTTCCAGCAAGGCCAACACCTAGTAAGCCTACCCAAACAGGGTACCAACTGGGAGCCAAGTAGTCAAATGCCTGAAAATATAGGCGACATCTCATTCCAACCGCCACATCTGCCTTCAGATGAATCTTATGGATCACCAAAGCCTTGGTTTCCCCAACTAGAATATGCAGACTGTCATGACAGCTCCCCCTTAAGGTGACAGTAGGGATTAAATGAGATGCAGCTGTCTCCAGATCAAGCATACTTAAGATGCCGGACTCCGCAATGCAAAATCCCTATGTAAGATGGCACAGTAGTATTTGCATATAACCTATACACACCTGTCTTTCTGCTTACTTTACACTATCTATGGATGGTTACTTAAATACTTTGTATGCTATAAATACTATGAAAGTCATAGTTATACTGTACTGTTTAGGCTAGGGCAACAAGGAAAATAAGTAGGTACTTTTCACAGTACATTTTTTTTTAATAGGGTCTCATGATCTAAGGTGTGTCTTGGACTTACGTGCTTTGAGCTGTTGCTCCTCTCGCCTTCACTTTCCAATGTTGGGCTTACGTGCATGTGCTACCATGTTACATGCATGTAACATACCGAACCTTGCTACACAAATGCAATTTCATCATTACCATTGTCGTTGTCGCAGAGCTTGGTATTGAGCCCAGGGACTTTCCTATGCTAGGCACACGCCGTCTACCAACTGGACTCCACTCCCAGCGCCACAAATGCAATATTTTGAAGTACTCTTTAGCTATGAATGGGGGGCCTTCAGGTACCAGGGCCAACTAGTTATTGTGCAGTTTGCGCTCAGCCCAGTGCCTGGCCCACTTTGAAAATAAGCTGCTGTTATTCTTTATTCAAGGGCACCACTTGTGGTTTGACCTTGATGTGAAAAGAGAATTATCCTAGACCAAGCGAACTGAGTAGGATGTGTCTTTGGGTAAAACCATAGGGGGAAAAAATGATTCATGAATTGGGCGACTCCCAGAGCAGCATGTACAGGGAGCAAAGCAGTATTCACAGCAAAGCCCAGAAAACGGTTCACTCGGCTACAGCCCAATCAGCCAGGCAACTGGTTCCCACTTAACCAGTTCGCCCACAAGCCATGGGGCCTATGTAACTATTTAAGCTCAGCTACTGTGAGCTGGCTTGGTTTGAGTACAAACTTTACAGAGCCACCATGTTGCATGGATTCCTGGGTTCCAAACTGCGGTCATCGGGTTTGCATTGCAGATGCTTTTACCAGCTAAGCCATCTTCCAGCCCCTAAGATTTCTTACATAGGCACGGGTGTGATGATGTTAGAAAAGAGAATGTGAGGTGGGAAGGAGAGATCTAAGGGGTGGGGGAGGCGGTAAGACGCATGTGAGATGAAAGCAGGCAGGGCTGGAACGAGGGAGGGGAAGGAGACCAGCAGGAAGAGAGAGAGGACTAGAGAGGGAAGCAGAGTGGATAGGCCACTAGAGTGGCTATAAACAAAGTATGCGTAAAATGCCATAATGACGGAGCTCATTCCTCTAACTGAGGTCTTAGGAAAGGAGGAAGTGATGAGGCCACATTCTATGAGCACCTGCTGCATGCAGACACAATGCTAAATGGTTTTTTTTTTTTCAAGTTGGCTTAATTTTTTTTTCCAGCAGCTTGAGGGTCAAAGCAAAACAGCTGAAAGTACATGCATTTCCTCTCTCTGCCTCCTGCCTGCCCACGGGCGGCTTCCTCCACTCTGAACATTCCTACCTCGATGACGCGCTTGTCACAGTTGTTGGACTATAGTGACCTTAGTTCCAGCTTCCTGGAACAGTGGCAGGGGTAAGGGCGACCCCACTTGGCAGGTAGCATTGCCTTGCTAGCACTGCAGCCCGTTGCTACGAAGGCCTGAGAAATTCTCTCTGTGATTGGGGCGGCTAGCAAGATCATTGATTCAGAAGCTGAGGGGGGCGGAACTCGGAGAACCGCTGAGTAACATCTCCCCTGTTCAACTTCGCAGCGGGGATTTCTGAACCCAAAGCATCGAATCTGTGTGGGAGCCGAGCATACGGGAAATCGCTGGTAAGTGAAATGAGCCGGCTTCATTGTAGCTGCTGTGCTTGTTATGTCTTTCTGGTGCAAGAAAGAGATGGCTTTCTTTGCCCTGGGCCGAGGGTTGTTAGGAAAGCAGCACCGTGGTTCTTTGGTCACGGAACTAGCCGCTGATCCCGCTCTGTGTGCTCGGGACACATCACTGGCTGCTTCTCTTTCTCAAGAGGAATTCAGTTCACAAGCAAACAGACACTGTGATTCGTCAGCATCCCATGCAGGGGAGAAGAACCAGTAGGTCTGGCCGGGCAGCAATCCCTGACTAATTCCCAGATGCGGCTCTGGGGTAAAGGGGTGTTAAGTTCTCCAACACTAAGAGGGGAGGTCATGCCATACAGGCCCCAAACACAAGCAACTCAGTCAGCCTGGCTGCTGTCACATGCCACAGACTAGGGCACCGAAACATTTTCTCACAGCAGATTCAGTGTCTGGAGAGGGCTCTCCTCTCGCCTCTGCATTTGGATTTGCTCTTGCTAAGTGTTTTCTGTCCATACAAATCAAGGCATTGCTGAAATCTCTTTCTTCTTATGGGACACTAATCTCTTCATAGATGTATCACCCTTGATATCATCATCTAAACCTGGTTACTGCCCAGAGAATCCACCCCAGACACTAGGAGATAGGTAGGGCCCTAAGGGATGGGTTTGAGTCAGGCAAAAACAGTCAATCCATAACAACCAGTTCTCTCAGGATAAGGTGCTTCTGGAGCACTGCTTATAGTCAGGTTCACTGGGATTTGAGGGCTGCCGTGCAAGATGTATATTAGGCATCATTAACCTAGTGCCAGTCTTGAAAGTAGATTGGTAGCTTGTGTGAAGGGAACAACTGGACCATGGTCCAGGCTGAGTACCTTCAGGTGTAAGCCTTAGGGTACAAGTTGCCCACACAGATGGGTCTTAACTGGCCAAAAATGGCTCAACTTTTACCTTTCTTCCTCACTCCATTAGGACGTAGGGGCTAGCATGTGACTCTGGGCAAGGTGGCCTGCCACAGAGAGACGCTTGCCTACCCTCTGCCCACCCTGAAGTTGAACAGTTTGTCCTTTCCTAAAGCGGTTGGGGGGGGCATGTCCCAGATTTATCTCCTCTTCTCCTTCATAGTCTTCTAGGGATGAGTGTGGGGTAAGAGTCAGTGGTAAATGGAGGTGAGGTCATCTCAGATCATCTCAGACATCCTAGGCTCTTGCAAGTGGCTGCTCTTCAACATGAAAACTAGAAGAGATGCCAGAAGCTAGCTGGGCCAGCCTCTCATCATCGTTGAACAAATTAGACAGATACAGGTATTTATGCTCTGGACAAGAGACCTAATCCAAGGATTTCAGTAAGATCCATGTATTGGAAAAACTACACAAAGGGTAGGGATGGAACAAATGATTGTCAAGGAGGTCTCCTTTCCAATCATGTTGAGGAAACAGGATGGCTAGGCAGCTGGCTGAGGAAAGGAAGAAAGTCTTGAGAGTTGCTGAGCTGAAAAAAAAAAAAAAAAAGGTTGAGGAGGAAAGAGGCTAGCAGCCTGGGATTCCTGCTCCCAGGCCTCAGGGGAGGTTTAGATGGTGCCTTGGCAGATAAGCGGCTGTAACAGGGACCCAGAGAAAGCATGGGTACTGTGGGGTGGTGACGAAAATGAAGAGGCAGAAGCAGCATTTCCATGGTCCTGGGAAGGGTGAAGCTATGCCTTATCCCTCATCCTATGCTTATTGCCCAGAGGCATGAGAGAGACCCAGAGCCTGCCCATCTAAATCTGATTCCGTGCGGACACAGAGGAGGTGTGACTAAGGAAGACAGGGGAAGGGCTGGGAACCAGGCCTTCCTTCCAGAGCTAAGGAGCCTTGGGCTTATGTTTGCAGAGCCATCAGCAGGATAGGGAGGGAGAGGCCAGAAGGTGGCACAGTGACTCTGCCCTCAGACTTTCCCACTCCAGGAGAGAGGTGGTAAATAACGGTGTCCTTGACCTGGAATTTCTCCAGAGACTGGGAAATGTGGTGACTTGACGCTTTGAAACAGAAGAACAAAGAACCTCTGCAGCAGCCTCTGGACTTAGCCCTGATTACCTGACTAGGCCATCAGTTAATTTCTCAGTGTCTTTGGAAGGGCTGAAGAGGGCTGGGGTCCCAGATTCTCCCATCTGTCATGCAATCTTTCAAGGGACCAAGACAGTAGCTAGTAGAAGGAAAACAACCAGAAAGAAGGCACAGCTTATCCTATAATCTGTATAGTGCTCTGGGGACACTGGGACAGCAACCTCAGGGAAGACCTGGTCATTTTGGCCTTAAAAGGCTGATAGAAATGAGGCCGTGATCCAGAGAAGGATGAAGACATACAGAGCTGTGGGTCAGCAGTAGGAAAGGCGGGAAGCCTGCTGGAAGTGGGCCTGGGATTGGCAGACTCAAACAGGTCATAAAAGGCAGAGCTGCAAGCCAGCCTCGCAAGACCTCAAGGAGAGAGAGAGATGAAGAGTTGGCCCGAGTCTTCCAGGACTCCTGACAATTCTAGAGTCCAAGAGGGACATAGAGAGGGTAGCAGGCCTGGGCACAAAAGAGGTCTGAATAGACCATGCTTTGAAAAGTGCAAGGAAGCAAATAGAGAGGCTGGTGCTAGTGTGGCAGGGCCGTTGAAAAAACTCCACAGAATTGACAGTGGAAGGCGAAGGGTGACGGCCTCTTGGATGACTGAATGGCTCGCTCTCTCACGTGTCTCTCTGCCAGTGGTTCTTAGAGTTGAGTCCCAGGACCAGCAGTTTCACAGACCTTACTCATTTCAGCAACTCAGGCAACGTCGGGCCTGCTAAGCCAGATACTGTGTGGGACCGGCACTACCCTCAGAAGGCCTCCAGCGTGCCTGATGCGGATTGGGAGAGGGCTGTTGCCCAGGTGGAGCGTGGTACCTTCAGACAACCCTCTTAGAAATGGCTGCAATGTGTGCCGGGGTGGGGTTGTGACACCATCCTCAGTTCTTTCCCCGCTTCCTTGAAACGCAGATTCCTCCGGTGGCCAGGATCTCCATGAAAGCTCCGGCTGCGGTGGACGTGGCAGCCAGGGGTTCAGAAAACGGATCTGTTCTGGGAAGGGGGTGAGTATCATGCTTTCCAGCTGTGCTGCCTGCCTGGCTCTCCGCCCAGCCACCATGCACAGAAGGGGGAGGGAGCCCCAGGCACAGGAGAGAGACAGGTGACCAGCTTTTCACACACCTGCTATGCCCAACAAAACCCATTCCAGCCGTAAATTATCTTGCAACAAGGCCTGTCATCCCGTGTCCAGCTATCAACACATCCATTGCTTGCCTAGGATTCAGCTGAAGTACTTTTCATGGTTTCTACCCCATTAACTCTGGTCTCGGGGCTTTGCTTAATTAGATGAATGTAATCAGGAGCCTTATCCAGAACACTGTAGATGGTGGCAGAAATGCCTCGTGGGTTCTTTTAGGGACCCTTACTCACAGGTAAAGAAATGTATCAAATAATTTTCTGGCTGGGTATGTATGCAGCTCCGAAGGCCAGCACCTGCCTAGCCTGTGTGAGGTGCTGGCCTTCATCTCCTATGCTGCAAAACAAAGAAACAATAAAGCACAGGTTTAAAACAAACTGTAAACATGGCCACTGTTAACTCCATCTGCTAAAGAGCCAGCCTAGGGTGGCAAGAAGATTATTTCCCCCAGTATTCACAGGCCTTCAACACAGTAAGACAGTCAGAGCCTGCAATTCAGCATAGACATATGCCTCATTAACTGCCTTCTACACGGCAGGAACTTCAACTCCAAGGGGATCAGATGCCCCTGGCCTCTGAGGACATCTCCACTCGTGTGTACACAGAGACACAAGCATTTTGCATATATACAATTAAAATAATAAAGTAAATCTTTAAAAAAAAAACATAGTTGAGACAAAGGTCAAGAGTTCAAGGTCAACCTGAGCTACTGGGTGAAACCTTGTCTACAAGCAAAAACATATGTATTCAAGCAAAGTGTTGAGGGGGGGGAGGAAGAAATATGAGAGAGAGAGAGAGAGAATGAGCCCTGCATGGTGGTGCATACCTATGATTCCAGCACTAGGAAGATAGAAGAAAGAGAATCGGAAATCCAAGGTCTACCGTGGTGAAAGCCTGGGTTACATGACACATTGTCTAAAAAGAAATAGGGAGGAGGGCAGGAATAGATCATGTATGGAGGGTGTCTTAGTTAGGGTTTCTATTGCTATGGTGAAACACTATGACTAAAGCAACCTGGGGAGAAAAGGGTTTATTCAGTTTACACTTCCAGCATTGTCATCCACCACTGAAGGAAGTCAGGACAGGAACTCAAAGCAGGACAGGAACCTGGAGGCAGGAGATGATGCAGAGGACATGGAGAAGTGCTGCTTAATGGCTTGCTCATTATTGCTTGCTCAGACTACTTTCTTATAGAACCCAGAGCCTCCAGCCAAGGGGATGGCATTACCCACAATAGGCTGGGCCCTCCCCCACCTATCACTAATTAAGAAAATACCCCAGAGCTAGGCTCTTGGAGTTTGAACTCAAGAGAGAAAGAAAGAAAGAGAGAGAGAGAGGAAGGAAGGAAGGAAGGAAGGAAGGAAGGAAGGAAGGAAGAAAGAAAGAAAGAAAGAAAGAAAGAAAGAAAGAAAGAAAGAAAGAAAGAAAGAAAGAAAGAAAAATAAATAAAGAAAGAAAATGCCCCACAGCCAGATCTTTTGGAAACATATTCTCAATTAAGGTTCCCTCCTTTCTGATGACTCTAGCTTGTGTCAAGTTGATGCAAAACTGGGCAGCCCAGGGAGTTTAACTCATACTGCTAAACGTTTTTTAAAAAGTTTCTAATTCAGCGATTGGGACACAATACACTTGGTGAGATGTTCAGTACATATGTGAAGGGACACAGGCTCAAACACAACAAAATACTGGTACATTATAAAGAATAGAGGTTAATTTGGGTGATCCAATGCCAAGGGACTGTACCCAAAGATGGCTTCATAGTTTGTGCAGGACATTTACACAACAGAGATGGAGAAAAGAGATATATTCAAACTGGTTTTTATGGCAGACCCACTCTTGAGATAACTTATTAACCCAAGAATCAGTTAATCCCTTCATGAGGCCAAACTCTAATTGAAAAGGTCCTACCCTGGTCTTAGGTCTTTCTATTTTGGGTGTTGGAACTAGAACCCAGGCTTGCATGTGTGATACTGTACCCTAGGGTTGTATCTGCAGCCCTTGTTTGATTTTTGAGGCTGAGTCATATGGCATCATCCAGCCTAGCTAGAACCTGAGATCTGCTGCTTCTGTCTTCCAAGCACTGAGAATACAAGTGTGGTCCCTGGTCTCTTAATACCTCAAAATGGAGATTAAGTTTCGAGGTGAGTTGTAGAAAAGCAGCCACAATAAAACCATAGCAAACACTAACCAAAGGAAGTAACATCACGGGAGGCAACATGGGGACCCACGGGATGGAACACTTCTGAATGTCAGAATTCCCCTGGAAAGAAGTGTGGAAACCAAGCTGTGTGCCATTTGATGTGTTGGGATTTAAGTGGGGGAAGTTGGTTGTTGGTTTTAACTCACTTGGCCTGGATTTCTTTCTGCTTAGCAAGTTTTTCTGAAGGGCAGTAGCTGCTACAGACTACTGAAGTCGACCGGGAAGGCTATGCCTCACCTCCTCCATACAAGTCAAGCATTCTAGGCCACAGTGATGCCCAGCTTCTCCAAACCCCGTCACCCCGCCCCCAGCCCCACCCCACCTCGCCCGCCTCATCCCTATGCCGGAGATTAAATCCAGGCCTTACACGAGCTGGGTGAGCACTCTACCACTACCAGGCTACCACCCAAGTCCTCCTTACTTATTCTCACTGCTTAGGCAAGCAAGACTCAAAACAAGAGGCTAGGACCCCAGATCCCATGAACCGCTATGCTCATGGTCACTCCATCAGAGATCCACCCCCAGGGGACATTCCTGTGGGTGTTCTACAGTGAGCCCCCCCCCCCCAAGCTATGTAGAGCATGGTCATAGAATAGAGGAGAAGAAAACAACTCTGTCTAGACGCTCTCCTCCAAGAAACAACTGAAGTCTGTCTCAGTGCGGTAATCAGCTTCGCCAACCCATCCCCAACTCTTTGGTTTTTGTTTAGATCCAGATACCTCAAGAAGACAGCAGAAGAGTACCCAACTCTTCCCCAGGGAGCCGAAGCCTCCCTGCCGTTAACAGGCAGTGCTTCCTGTGGTGTTTCTGGCATCCTACGAAAGATGTGGACCAGGCACAAGAAGAAGTCTGAATACGTGGGAGCCACCAACAGCGCCTTTGAGGCCGACTAAAGGTGACCTTTCTTGGGCGCCTTGCACTGGCCAAGGTTCACAGGAGAAGTGTTGAGGACTGGGACTGAGCTGCCCTCCCTCTGCTGGTTGTGGTCCAAACACATCATCCTCCCTTACGCTCTAGCATGGGGCATGCAGAGTAACATCCCCAGAAGGCAGGAAAGCAGAACTGCTAAAGCACCGGACTTTAAAGTCTTTTTGGGAGATTATAAAGATTACATCCCTGTCTTTAGGCAAAAGCAAACACCAGAAGCACCAAAAGCAAACTTTTCCTGGCCCCGTTTGAAAACCCTCCAAGGAAAACAGAAGGCAGTTGCTCTGTCTTCTCGAGTTTTCCCAAAAATGTATGATTCCTGGTGTCAGTGTAAAAGCTTGATTCTGAGGTTCTCAGAACACAACAGTTCTTACTTTTCTCACTTTGTGTCTGTTTTGCCTTGATGAAACATTTCGTCTTAACTTTGTTCTAATATCTACTTAACAGCATCCACCATCACTCACTCTGCTCTGCTATCCATGGGCATGACTGCATGAGTTCTTTTAGGAGCATTTTTAAAGCACTTAAAACTTCAGTGTTAATCTTAATGTGTTATATTTTGTGAAGTGGTACAATTGCCCGGCCTTGTACAATGGCTTCAACCCGGAGAGTGTTTTTTCCATTGTTGTCTCTTCTTATCATTACAAAGCCACTGCTAAGAACGTACTGTTGTCCCCAGCTTACAGATGGGGAAACTGGGGACGTTACGTGACCAGACAGCAGGTTGTGGGACTGTCACCAAATCTAAGCTTCTCTCTAATTACTGTCTGATGAAGTTGGAACAAAGAAGTGATTTGGATGAAATGCATCATTATGTATTAGATAAGTAAGGTGGATATGGTAGCAGGGGACAGGAAAGCCACCTTCTCAAAAGGTTCAGGCAGGAGGATCGCATGTTTGATGCATGTCTGGGAGGCTGAGCAGACCGTGACTCAAAAACAAAACAAAACACACACACACAGAGAGAGAGAGGGAGAGAGAGATTATGCATTAGATGAAACCAAAAGATATTGCCATTTTCTAAGTTGAAAACAGCTGGAAGAATCTATTTCCTGTGGCTCAAACTATTTACTATCACTTAAAATGATCCTATAAGATCATATAAGAGATAATGGTAACCATAGCTATCATTTGTTAAATGCCTACCTGCCCTGTGCCAGGCACAATGCTGAGCACTTGGCATGAATTACTCTATTCTTTCTAACAGCTAACTTAGGTGAATTTGTCCACTGTGTATGTAGATACTAATCCAAAAAGGTTAAGTGTGTAGGTTGAAGAAACCTGGCTCTAAGTGTCTGACTTCAATGACCGTATTGTATCTTCCCCTTCACCCAAAATGGGAAGCAGGGAGGACTGAAGTGAGCAAAGAGTCTTCATCTCCAAAGGCCTGGAATTCAGTGTGGAGATAGAATCTCAGGTATTAACATGCAGAGATTGATGAGTGGTGTCTGTCTGTGGAGAGGTCGGGAGCACAGACCTTATCTATTTCTCATCTGTGGCTTCAATTCTGCCCTACAAGTTTTGTTTCTTAATTAAGACATTTTAATTAATCTGATCTTCTTAATTAACGCAGAAACACTGAAGTAAAATTTATCCCAATTGTGTCGAGACCCACCATGTCTTGGCACAGGAAAGAGTTTGAAGAGTTTGGGTCTCGGGCTCCCTTCTGCGTGCTGTTCTGTGAACACTTGTCTCCTGTTCCTCATACTCTAGGTCAAACCCAGATGTCCAGGCTTTCGCCTTGCTTATTGCTGCTCTTCAGCCTCTGCTTTAGACCCTGAGCATCTGACCCTGAAGGGGTCTGGGACTCAGGGGCTAGTCTCAGTGAACCAGCCAATGTCACACACAGTACTAAGCTGAAATCCGGAACAAAGTTAGGGAAGAAACAGGTCATAGAATCCCCAGTGATTGAACTTATTTAACTTAAAATTTGATGTCTTAAACGTGTGTGTGGCACCTGGAGATTTATGTATAGACTGGACCTCACTTATTTATCTTTAATTTAAATATTTTATGGTGAAATGTTTGTAGAACATTTCATTTGGCTAATTCAAATCAAAATAAAGTTCGCTTCATTTGTGACATTAATAAACCCCTTGAAGAGCGTGTCTGAGGCTCCCTCACTCAATGAGAGAAGATTTGCACAACAGGAGAGAATTATTCATCTGGGTCTCGCTACTCCTTGAAGTGGGAGAGAAATACGAAACAAGTGCGTTCTTTCCATCCTGAGGCAATGTCTGTGTCTGATGTTACAGGCTCTGCCCACAAATCAGCACTAGGGTCTCAGCTGAAAGGACTAGCCAATGACCTACAATCCCAGGTCTTATCTTTTTCCCTGCTCCGGTGATCTTTCGGAACCCTCCATAAATTCCAGGGTCCCAGTGACCATCCCAAGCCTGCTGGCTTCTCCCCTGGCTTGGGAAAAGGCAAACTCTCCCCTGTGCCCATCTCATGCCTCTTGCTGGAGACTGCCCCCATGACTCACGGCACAGCCACTCAGAAGGATGCCACGGCTGACTGCAGAGTGCTGTTTGGCAAGAACCACGACTGGGGTCCTTTCGAACGAGAGGCAAGGTTTCCAGGACATGTAGGGGAATGAAACTGCCTCTGTTAGGACAGAGGCCAGTCACATACTTCTAACTCTGGAGATACCCCACCCCACCCAGCACCAAAGTTGCCTGGAGCTGGCAGATGGGCAGTGGGTAGGCAAAGCAAGACAGCCAAGCCCAATTTTAAAAAAGAATCATGTAGCAGGTCGTCTCTGACACAAAATTGGCAGGGACAAAGGGATAAACAAGGAAGAACACAAGCAAAGGGGAGCCTCTGGGGAGTTAGAATTTGCACTCCATTTCTAATTGCTCATCAGCATGTTATCCTGTCATCCTCCACCAAGAAGTCCCTGACAAGTATATCCCTGGTTCTCTCAAAGGACAAGGGAAAGACTGTCCTCTGAGAGACCTTCCTTCTGAAGACCAGCCCACACACCTGGCCATTTGATTTGTTTTTGTTTTGATTATTGTTATGAGACTGGGACAAGATTCCTATCTATCCATACTCTCTACTGGGAAGGAGCAGGAAGGTAGAGAAATGTCACATCACTCCTGGACCTTGTTGGAGTCTGTAGAAGATCCAAGCTGAGGGGTTCTTACAACTCTGTGTTGAAGGTCTTCCCACATCTCTCAGACTTCTCAGGCCCGAAGCAAGTGCCCTTTCTGGGCTACCCCATACCATACCTCATCCTATTTTCTTCAGCACTAGGATTTGATCCAGGGCCCTTAAGCACTAGTCAAGTGTTGCTGGACTACAGTCCCAACTCTCCCCTATCCCATTTTTAGTTTATTTTGAATCACTGAGCTGTCTGACTGACCTCAAACTTGAAGTCCTCTTTCAAATAGCTGGGCTTACAGGTAGGGGTCACTATTGTCAAGCTCTGGGCCAAAAGTACGTTTGCCATCAGGCAAATGCTGCTATCTCCAGGTGACTGAGGCTTTGCTTGTCAACCTGAAGGCTCCCACTGCATTTTCCAGGTATCCCTGGAGTGCTAAACCAATGATGACCCAAATTTGGGGAGAGGGAGGGGGTCTACCCACAGAGAAAGAAACTAAGTGTCATGTCCAACTGCCTGATCTCCAAGGCTTGCTACAGGGAGAGGCACACCTGTGGCATCCTGTGTCCTATATCCCACTCCAGCCAGGAAAGGAAAGCATTGGCAGAGGGCTGGGGGGGGACATAAGGTTTTTCAGCAGCAGCTCTCACTAAATAGGACACAGCTGTTTGTATCATAGCAGACTCTACAGGTAATGATCCAAGAACAAGCCTGTTCCCAGATGCCAGCCTTTAGATAAAGACAAGAGGCAGCACAGACTATGCAGGACTAGATCAGACCAAATCGAATCGGTGAGGGCAAGCTTGTTTACAGTTTCTCAATATTGTCCCCTCAACTCACCAAATTGCCATAAACACAGAAGCACACAACACACACACACACACACACACACACACACACACACACACTGCTACACCTTAACCTCTACTAGGGCCTGAGACCTCAGTGCCCCTTGGCCACCCGGGACTCTCATCTCTTCCATCCAAAGCCTCCTTTCTTAAATACCCCATGCCCTGCACTTCAAATTGGCAGAAACCCTGACAGTGAGAGAACTTGGGCGGCTATAGGACCTCATGGAGATTTCTGAGTTCACTTTCTTCATTGGTTGAAAAGAAAATGTCCCATCTTCCTCTGTGTCCCAGAAATGATTAAACAAAATTCCTGTGCTAATATGCAGCTGATTTGTATTAGTGTGGCTATTCAAGTGAGGAGATCGGAGCCCTTGCCCAGTAGCTGCAAATGCCCAGGGCTACCCTGAGCCTCCCCCTCTGTGTTGTCCCTGCTTACTTGGGGTTCTCGCCAACTCCTCTGTGGAGAGTAGTCCTGAACAATGCCCTGCATGTTAGAGGGACTGAAGGCTCGGAGCCCGCTTAGCATTACGACCAGTACTCATCCTCGCCAGTTATTTGCCCAGGCCCTGCCTGGATTGTCCTCCTGAGAACAATGCATTACAATGTGCCTGTCTTATACAGGCACAGTATAGATCACATAAGTGTGAAATGGACCAAGGCAAGAAAGGATTGCCCTTTACGTTGTGATGGGTCATGTAAACCTTAGAGCAAGTGATTGGAGGGGTGGAGACGAGACTCAATTAGAGACTAGAAGGTAATGTCTTAAATTCTTTGCACTCACAGCGCAACACTCTTCAGAAGCAAATGTCCTCTATAAAGAAGACAGGAAACTGCTGGCTGGGTCACAACATTCAGCCCAATAGCTATGGGCCCCTGAAGAGTATAGAAACGACAAACAAGTGTGAGACTCAGGTTAAGAAGCCTGGTGCCAGGAACCCAACTCTCATATGTTGGACTGAGACTTGTAGGGTTTCCTTGCTGCTTGAGTTTCTTTGGGCCTCTATTTTGCATCATCTGTCCATGGGAATTAAGTTAACTACCCCCTCTACCTCACAGGCTGAAGACAACTCAGCAGAGCCCAGGCCTAGCGGGGCTTTGCAAATTGTGAATTGCATTAACATATGGTGTTGTGATAATCCACCCCATTCAGAAGAAGCAGAGCTGGGCGGGGAGCAGTGATTCAGGCTGAACATGAGGCAGGGACTGAAAATAGAATCATTTCCTGAGCCCAGGGGCCAGGGTTCTCAGAAGATGGTGGGCAGGGGAGGGAGGCTCCAGGCTGGCTGAACCCAGGGCTCCCTCTTTCCACTGCAGCATTTGGTCCTATCCTGCAGCCCCAGGTGGCCACACACTGTGCCAGGTCAGCACAGGCCAATGACCCTTGGCTCACAAGCAAGACGTGGGTGGTGACTACTCTTTTGAATTCAAAAGATTCTGCTCGCTGCCAACTGCTGCTCCTGGCCTCTTGCCTGCATTCCCTACCAGCAAAATTAGCCCTCCGCTGAAACCTACCAAGTGCATTGGCCCAGGAGACCACAGGCCCTGCCTGTGTGTTCCAACCCTGAAGGCAGAGGCCAACCCCTGCTCATTCAGCCTCACTAGGCTCCAGGGCAGAGTCTAGGACCCCCAAGACTCAAGTACTACGGAGGGATCAGGTCTGGTGGGAAGCTTGCCTGGCTGGGTATAACCAGGCAGGGATTTGGTACTTCACAAACAGGCGCTTCTGTGCCACATTCCTGCTCTTCACCCAGGCCAAGGAAAGCAGTGACCTCACCAGGAAAGCAGGCTCCATAGTCTCACAACAAGCCCCACAGCCACAAATCCAGGAGACCATGAAAATCCCCCCTTGCTTACAGAACAGCAGGTACAGTGTGGAGGCAGAGACGGGGGGGGGGGACCTCTCCTTCTAGAGAGACTCCCCTTCCTGCCTTAGGGGTGAAAGGGCACTTTTCACACATACACACACACACACACACACACACACACACACACCCCAAGGACCTGCCTTCTTGCCACCTCGTAAAGACATCAGAAGGAAGTCAAAGCTGCTCGCCATCTTGGTTCTCTAGGGCCTGGCCAGGCTCCTGCCAGCAGACAGTTCTGCAGCTGCTGGGCTGGATGCTATTGTGACTGTGCTTCCCCGTCTGTGCTTCCTTAGGATGTGGCTAGAGCCAGCGGCACTTAGGGGAAGTAGGAAGTTGGGAAGAGAAAGGATGCTGCCTATTCTGGCTACTTACTCTTGTTCTCCCAGCCCAAGGAGGAGTGTAAAAACCAGTGACCTTAGCCACTGACCTGGATGAATACACCCTGACACTCACAACCTGAGACTGCATGTTGAAGCCACAAGTCTTCCTCTGCTTTAGATTCAGTGGAATGTTGCATACGATGACAACCACGGCTTAGTTACCAGGGGCTCATGCATACCGTTTACGTGAGCTGAGCTCTGAGCTAAGTACTTAAAGTGTCTCAGCTTAGGTGATCCTCCATCTGAGACAGTGGGATGGGATCTCCTCTTCCCTACACATGACGAGAAGGGCAGCTTCTCTTTAGAAAGAAAAAATGCTGCCTGTGGCTCCAGGAGGCAGAAGGCCCAGGAAGGAGGCCAAGAAGGGACCTTTGCCAGTCCATTACTCAGCAGGTGAGCTAGTTGCGAAAGACAGTGGCTCAGTTGTCGTCCCAGTGTCCAAGGCAACGGTACAAACAGTGAGCATGACACAGGTCAATGCCCTGGCCTCCCTGACATAAAAAATGCCCTGTGGCCATGTGTGGCGAGAGGGGGCAGGGCACAGGGCAAGCAGGTAGGCTTCTTGATGATGACGTGAGAACATCCCCCACCTGGAAGCATTTCTGGCCTCTTTACTACCCATTCCTGGGTAGTTCTTTGAGTGTGTGTGTGGACTGAAATCTGTATTTTCGACAAACATTTCAGAAACATGCCACCACCACTCCCTCCAGGATGTAATGCTACGCCTTGCAGGGCAGAGCCTCCCTTCTGTCAAGGAGGGCAAGGAGCAAAAGTCATCTCAAAGGAGCAGAATTTAGCAGTGTGAAAATGATGATCTGGAAAGAGATCCTAAAAGAAATAAGCAGGAAATTAGATGTGGGAGTCTGAGACAGCAGAAAGAAAAAGAAAAAAGAAAAAGAAAAAAAAGAGGGAGAGCTTAAAGAAGCTCAGAGTGAGGGCTGTGACTGCTC